TAGGGAGGCCGCCTGCTGCTGCACAACATAGCTTTTAGGATGACAAGTTTAGAAAAGTTCCTTAAAAATGACAAGCATCTTAAGCAGTGCAGTGCTGTCCCCTGTTGGGAACTGTGCTATTAAAGCAAAACAAAAGCACATGCATCCCCAAAAATAAAAACAAAGCAAAGCCCCCAAAGACTGCTACAGGATCCCCCTGTAGGGTGGAAGCTAAGCAAAGACAGCTGTGAAGCAGCCAGTTTCAGGGAGTCATGCAAGGCGCTGCACAATGTTAGAGATGCTGATATCCACAACATGCATCAATGCCGGGCATATACTCAAAAGGAGGTGGCCAACAACTGCGCTATTTCCAAATTACCTGCAAAGAACAAGTATCCTTTTGCAAGGGCATTTTTGAATGCACAAACTGACCTACATAGCAAGTGGTCTTCTTTACTGGACAATTTCAAAGAGTGCTTCCTAACAGAAAGCCAGCTGACTGATCAGATTTCCAACCAGATCCCCCTTCACAGGCAATTGAACACATCTTTAGTGCACAGTCCAAACCTCTGCCAAATCCAAGCTGCCTTCACCTGCTCCTTCTTTTGTCAGCAAGCCTATTTAAGTATGAAGACAAGCAGATGAAGCAGGCTGCAGTATCACCTCTTACTTACTTATTACTACTTTTTACTTACACAGTAGCCCAGCAGCAGCAAAGCAAGTACAAGATGATAAACATTTCATGCCCATAACCACCTCCTTCTGAAGCCAAGGCATTTATGAGGCAGCCATAGCTCTCATTTGTTTTCAAGGGCTGCAAGCCTTCCCTGCCTCTCAGGGCTACATTCAATCAGCAGCACATTCGCTAAGCAGGAACTTCAGAAAGGCTGGCCTTTTTTATTATGATTATTTATTTGAGGGGAGTTGACAGAGCAGGAGGAACCTTCCTCTTGGTCATAGTTCAGTGCCAGAGGGAGCGGACGGTGGAGTGCAATATGTTTATGGGTGCTGCCATCGTTTTAATAGCACAGAGCAACTACTTCAGGTAACTGAGGGATGATGTGTCATCAGCTATGGGTGTCATCCATCCTCATTCTTTGCAACAGCTGAGAGGGCTGGAACCAAACTTCTACAGTTCAACTGGGGGAAGCCAATTCCCCTCTTTTGCAGACAGGTTTGATATAGCAGCACCAAGTCCTTGGCCGAACAAACCAATACACAACAGGTGTTCACCGGTAATCACTGACCAATCTTGACAAAAGCCTGCTCTGAATAACATTTTTCTTCCTGCTGAATGTGCTTAGTTTTGTTTTCGCATTTTAGCAATTTCAAGGCTGTCTGTCCTCAGCAGATGGACAGTAGGAACACAGGCCTCTTTATGGTGCATGTTATTATTTCAGCAGGTAGGTCATGCACACCGGTAGCTCTTTACTGGATTTACATCTGTCATCCCTGGGGTGCCTAAACCATTAACTGTCACATTCCTGGTGGACAAACGCTTGCATGACAAAATGAACACAAGGCACTAACTCAGTGGCACTGGACAGTTGCTGAGAAAAGAGGAAGGAGAAGGAACGAGCCCTATCACCGATAGGTGGTCCCTCTTATACCCCTATAAGATATAAAGCACAATGGCAGAACTACAGTTTTAGGAAAAATAAGACTGTTACTAATCACAGAGCATGTCTTCTGCAGGTACTGCCAAAGGCTTTAATTTTGTCACCTTTCAGGAGGGCGGAAAATTATTACTCCAAGAATAGACAGATACACTCCACTGAATGGAAACAGGAAAATTAGAACAGGTGTAGATGCAGTAAGACATATTGCTGTGTTGGGAAAAAATAACTACATTTGGAGTGAGGCACAGACTAAATAAAATATAATAATAAAATAATACAAAAATGAAAACTCAAGAGGGCTACTGGTTTAAGTATGGCTACCTCCTAAGCATGAGCCAAGATCCCTTTGCAGACCTGCATTTACCAACTTTGACTGATAATAAAAGACACAGCATGTCCACTAATATTTTCAAAGTTTAAGTAAATTGTTTAAGAAATGAGCAACATCTGGTTTCCTTGCTTCCTAACCAAGTCACCAGCTGGGGGCTTGTGAGTTTTATAATCCCAGACCTGGGACACAAGCCATCTTTTAGCACCGTTGGTCAATACTGCTGAACTCTTCTGCTAAAACAAGGGTTCATTTCTCTTCCAGGTAAGCCACTGGATAGCAATCACAGGAAGCTGAATAAATACTGGACTTAATCATTTGGGATCAAAACCAAATGAGGATATTCCTCTTGACTCTATCAGAGACAAAAGGTTATTGAAACAAGATCTCAGGCCAAACTGGCAACCCCTGTCCTAGGTATTTATACAGGGGGAAAAGATAACAGAGTCCGCTCGGAGAAGACTAGCTAGATATGGGAACTACATAAGTAATGCATGTGTGCTTCTGAAAACATCACATTTGAGCACTGATTATTCAGGCAGGGAATGCTTTCCCACATATATATCAACAGTCCAACTTCCAATGAAATTGAGAATACAACGCCAAATTAGTATTTCACTCATACAGACAATTTCCAGCATCTTTTCCCAAACCCATACACCACATCACCCATACATGACTGCCATAACGGGTGCATCACTCATGTCTGTCATGGTCTGGGCAAATGTAAAAATGGCAGTGAGCAATCAAAACATAGTTCTGCAATTGGTGGTGAGGGAGGAATGGATCAGCACGGTAAAGCAGCGGCCTTAGGAAGGGCCTGACCGGAACCAGCTTCATCTGTATGTCTGTTACCTTGCCATAGTCAGTAACTCTGTCATATAATTAATTTCACTACAGCGTGACCAATGACTCAGGAATCCAGACTACCAGCTTGGTAGAGATCTCCTACTTAAGAACTCAATACAGAGTATTTTTAGGGGCACTGCCAACTTTGGGAGTGGAAGATAGAGTGGGAGATGCGAGAAATGAGAGGCAGCAGGTGCCCAAAACCCAAGACAGCTGCTGGCAACAACTTTTGCACTCATGTCAGTATCTGACGAGCTCTGCAGCACATATTCTAACATCTTGATGACCAGACTTCATCACTGAATGAGCAGAGTCATTTCTTCTTAAGGCAATAATCCAGCTCTAAACTTCTCCACAATGATAGGAATTAAAGCATTTAAAGAATATATCTAGACATGCAGTATCCACTCCAGACCCTTAAACGCTTCCAGTTGAGTGGAAAATTGAAGCAGTATCAATATTAAATGTAACGAAAGTCAGAGATATAAGCAACTGACAAGGGAGAGGAAGCAGGAAGAGACACTGAACAGCAATCAATTTTGAGGAAAGGCTGTGATGAAATTGCTCAACTCTAATGTATACAGAGCATACTCAATTCTATAAACATGAAGATGGGAAGCAGCAGAAAAACCCTCCGCCCTTTTAGGGCAACTGCACTTCTAATACTTATGGCATTGCTGCAAATAGGTTTGCAATGCTGACGCTTGATAGTTTTCATTTAAAACAAAATAAAGAGAAACCTGTTTTATAAAATCCAGAGTAAACCATCTGCTTTCATTGCTTGCTTTAATACTTCAGCCCATTCCCACATTCTCCTTTTCCCATCACCACTTCTATACATGCATACATACATAGAGTTTTCATTTTGTAGGCTGCCAACAGACAAGGCATTCAATGTCTATAGAAATCTTACAGAGCGTAGGCTTTCTAGAGATGTATGCTCAAGATGCTTATTTCTGATAGCAGGTGAGTCAACAACTCCTCTAAATTTTTACCTCCTTGCTTAAATTCCTACTGTGCCTGTTAGACATAAGAAACTCCAAGTCCCTGACCAATTTAGGAAAAAAAAAAAAAATCTCAAAAGAGGGCATCATGAAATTCTATACTAATTATGACTTTCTATCCCAGAACATATTTCAGACCCTACTGAGTCAATGAGGTATTTTCTCATAAAGCTAGAAGCAAAGGCCACTCCACTCTTCTTGGATTATTTCTAGCTCATAATCATTAATACAGACTCCCATTATGCTAGCCTAAGGGTGGCATATGGCTTTCTAGGGATAGGACAGACGGGGAAAAATAACAGTTACGCATGCCTACATCCCAATCTCATTTCTGTGCATGCATATGGGGACATAGCTTTCTCTTGCCAGATTCTTAAATACCAAATATATTAGCTTCCGAGTCAAACATAGTACTTCAAACACAACCACTGTTTTGCAAAAAATCAAGATGACATGCGTGATCAACCCATGTGCCTCCAAGCAGCAAAATGATGAACCATGCGAGTTCCGAAGGAATTCCCTTCCCACACTTGCTCCCAGACACTACAAGCAATTTTCACCTGCCTCTGAACAAAACAGGTATTTATAGGCACCAGCCAATGGATACAGGTTTAGTATAGTACAGTGAATACAGAGTCCCTGCCACAAGATTAGAAATCTAATTTCTTTTTGTTTAAAAAAGATTATCTCAAATACTATACAGTTTAAGAGAAATACGGTTGACTTTGGGGCTGCTTTTTAATACAGGCAAAGACTGTCTTAATTACATGCTTGAGTAAGAAAATTCTTGAAAGTCTTCAGTCATGGTCGTGCACTCCCTGTCAGTCTCTACGAATCCTTCTGCAGGTGGAGAGTCAGGTGCACTTTCAAACATCACAGTCTACATTTTTACCCACTTTGACAGTCTTGTAAATTTTCCTGTTCTCCCTGCTCTTTCATCCCAGACATATACAAAGCACACTTTACACAGCATTACAGGGTCGGCGTCTTTCTGGGGGCAGGATCCAGTCCACTGGTTTGCCAAGATGTATGTGGGAAAGACATACAGTAATCAACATTTAGTATAAATCAAGCGGATTCCAAAGCCTTACAGAAAGGACCACAAAAAGCATAGGGGACTCAAGTTAAAATAAATGTTCTGAGCTAGTACACATACACAATCATGCTTGTA